ACTGAGTTCAGGTTGATGCTGCTATATGCGTCGTTCTGTAGTGTCATGAACTTTTTGAAGCTCCCTCGTATTTTCTAAATATCCCTTTTCTGTGTCTCTCTCATCATGACCTTGGCACATTCCCTAATCTGAGTTACTGGCAACAGTAAGTTAGGGGTGAGGATGAAAAAGATGGTGATAAACTGCTAAGAAAGCCTCAAATGAAAGCGGCCTTAAATGTACCAGGTTTGGGGAGCGGTTGGCATCACTATCTGGGGAAATGACAGCCAGCATTTAAGTTCCTTCTTCTCACCTTTGTACCTGTTATAATGGCCACTTTTCAGTGGCCAGGATAAAGGACTCAAGCTTACCCTCTTTTTTTGGCTGAGGTTGCCTCTCTTTTTTTGTTATAGTTTTATTGAGATAAGATTCACAGACCATACAAGTCACCCATCAAGCATTCAATTCAATGGCATATTAGTGTACTCACAGAGTTATACAACCAGGATCTCAATTAATTTTAGAACATTTCACACCGCAGAAAGAAATTATATACCTTCTAGCAGATTCTACTGGTTCCTTCTTCCCACACACCTGGTGATTGAGATGGTAGTGTTGGTGTGCCGTGGAGATGGTTCCGACTCATAGCGACCCTGCATACAGTTTCTGAGGCTGTGAATCTTTATGGGAGTAGAAAGCCTCATCTTTCTCCTGAAAAATAGCTGGTAGTTTCGAACTGCTGACCGTGAGGTTAGCAGCCCAACTCGTAACCACTATGCTACCAGAGCTCTGCACAATCCTAAGGCAGCCACTAATCTACTTTTTGTCTCTATAGATTTGCCTGTTCTGCACATTTCATATAAATGGAATCATAAAATGAGTGGTCTTTTGTGATTGGCTTCTTTCATATAGCACAATGTTTCCCAGGTTCATCCATGTTGCAGCATGTATCAGGATTTCATTCCATTTATTGCCAAATAATATTCCATTGTATGTAATGTAAAACATTTTGTTTATCCGTTGGACATTTTGTTTCTACTTTTCCAGCTTTTATGGATAATGATAGTATGAACATTCATGTACAATTTTTGTATAAAAATATATTTTCAATTCTCTTGTGTATACACTTAGATCCAACAATTCTGGGTCATATATTTAACCTTTTGAGATACTGCCAAACTTTCCCACAGCAGCTGTGGAAATGGTTTTCTACATTTCCACAAGCAGTGTGTGTGAGGGCTCCAAATTCTCTGTATCCTCTCCAACACTAGTTATTAGCTGTCTTTTTAAAATTAGACTCATCCTGTGAGAAGTAGTATCTTATTACTGTTTGTGTTTACATTTCCCTGATGGCTAAAGGTGTTGAATATGTTTTCATATGTTTATTGGCTTATCTCTTCTCTGGAGAAATGTCTAGTTAGATATTTTGTCCATTTTAAAATTAGGTAATTTATCTTTTCACTATTGAGGTATAAGAGTTCTTTATAGATTCTGGATCTATTCCCTATATTAGATATACAAGGGGGCTTCAAAAAGCTTGTGGAAAAATATAATGAAATTTTTTCACAAACGTATTGAAACTCCCTCATATAATTTTCAAGAATTTTCTTTCATTTTTATAGGCTGTATAAGTTTTTGATTTTCATGAATCCCAGTTTATCTATATTTTCTTTTCTTGTGTGTACTTTTGGTATCATGAGATACCATTGCCTAATCCAATATCACAAAGACTTATTTATTCCTATGTATTCTTCTAAGAGTTTTATAACCTTATGTTAGTTTCTTAGTGCTGCTATCATAGAAAAACCACAAGTGAGTGGCTTTAATGAGCAGAGAACGGTGTTTCATCACAGTTGAGGCTAAAACTCTGAATTCAGGACATCAGCTTTCTCTTTGTCTGGATGCTGGAGGAAGTGCCTGATCTCTTTGCATATTTCATTGTTTAGTTCCTTACTGATCTCTCCATGCTCCCACCATCTGTGCCTCCTTACTTCTATGCCTAATCTGCTCCTTTTATTTCTCAACAGTGATTGACTTAAGATACACAGTATACCTCTATGGCCTCATTAACATAACCAAGAAAATCTTTACTCACAAATGGGAATACATTTAGGTCTATGATGGATCCATTTTGAATGAATTTTTGTGCTTGGTATAAGAGGTCCAATTCAATATCAGAAAAATGATTTGCAAATATTTGTTTTCCATTCCATGGTTTGTCTTTTCATTTTCTTGTATTACCTTATTCTTGTAGCGCTCCAGAGAACCATTCCCTTTTTTGTTGGCTATGAGGAGCTCTGGTAGCCTAGTGGTTACAAATCAGGCTGCAAACCACAAGGTCAGCAGTTCGAAACTACCAGCTGTTCCGCGGGAGAAAGATGAGGCATTCTGCTCCCGTAAAGATTTACAGCCTCGGAAACCCTGTTCAGGGTCGCTATGTGTCGGAACAGACTAGATGGCACTTAACAACAACAACAATGATAAGTTATAACAGTGGCAGAGAAAAATGTGTCCAAATGCTAGAGATGTGTTTCAACATAAAGACTTAAGGACAGCACAGCTCTGTCTGCTATTGTTTAATAAAAGGGAATGCACTGATTTTCCTTGTAGAAACTCCTACTGAACTTTGATGCAGCAATGTTTCTGAGAAAGTGGGAAATCCAAGAGAATACTTGCCTTGTTTGTGAACACATCTTGTTCTAATGCCTGTATGTCTTCAATCTTTGATAGGCGCGACTTGGCTTGCCTGAAGTCACACTAGGACTTCTTCCTGGCGCTAGAGGAACCCAGCTTCTCCCCAGACTCATTGGAGTTCCTGCTGCACTTGACTTAATTACCTCAGGTTAGTACTCGACGGCAACTAACAACCACAACAGTTGTACAAACATCAGCTGACTTGATCAATATGAGGAACTGGACTAAGATGTAGGAAAATCCTGGCTTAACCATCTATTACCCTTGTACCTCTAAGAAGATACTTTATCTTCTCTGACTTTCAAGTTTCCCATCTGTAAAGTGGAGAGAATACCTTTTCTGTTGTTGTTAGGTGCCATCGAGTCGGTACCGATTCATAGAGACCTTATGCACAGCAGAACGAAACACTGCCGGATCCTGGGCCAACCTCACTGTTGTTGCCACGCTTGAGTCCATCGATGCTGCTACTTGGCCAATCCATCTTGCTGGAGGTCTTCCTCTTTTTCTCTAACCCTCCACCTTACCAAACATGATATCCTTCTCCGGTGACTGGTCCCTCCTGACAATATGTCCAAACTATGAAAGATGAAGTTCGGCCATCCTGGCCTCCATGGAATACTCTGGCTGCACCTTTTCTGAGAGTTCCTCAGATGTTACCATGAAGATCAAATGTGAAAATTTTCTGCATTAAAGTATATACATGTTGTTGTTGAGTCGGTTCTGACTCAGCAACCCCATATTATAGGGTTTCCAAGGAGTGACTGGTGAGTTTGAACCGCCAACCTTGTAGTTCAAAGCAACCTTGTGGTCCAGTGCTTTATCCTACAGCGCCACACCAGGACTCCAAAGTAGCAATAATCAAATTCAGGGTTTTATTATTGTACGAGGCTGGTCCCTATGAGGTGGAGATTAAAGATATCCCAAATGTCTGACTTTCCCATTTCATAATCTCTGATATCAATCACCACTTCTCCCCTCCCTCACATCCCAGGGACCTGTAATATGCTGCAACATCTCACAGAACTCACAAACCATCAAGGAAATGGCTCAGACAATTGTGGAGACTGGCAAGTCCCACATCTGCAGTTCAGACATCAGTTTGAAGGACTCAAACCACATAGTCTCAGGGGCTGAGGAACCGAAATTGGCTAGTCAGATAACAGGCTGTTGAAGCACAAGGCTACAGGAGCTGGTGAATCAGTTAGGTGACCGGCCACAAGTCCCATGAACTGGAGATTGGAGGGAGATGAGGCAAATGCAGGATCCAGAGCAAGAGAGTAAACTTGTCTCAGACCATGACCCCAAGGAAAACTGAGGGTGGTGACTTGAGTCACACACACTCTCTAGTATGGTTGTTGTTGTTGTTAAGTGTCATTGAGTCAATTCCGACCTGTAGCAACCCTGTATACGGTGAGCTTGAACTATCAACCTTGCAGTTCAAATGATTTTGCAGTCTGACACATTAGCCCACAGCGTCACACTAGGACTCCACTGGGGCATCCTTAATCCTTTGTTCCACCTTAAACTTTACTCTTTGCTGTTATTAAGTGCCATCAAGTTAGTTCTGACTCATAGTGACCTTGTATAGAGTTTCTAAGGAACTGCTGGTGGGTTTGAACCTCTACCTTGCAGTTCAAATAGACCTTGCAGTCCAGTGCTACACCAGGACTCCCCAGGACATTTTAGTCCCACCAGAATCTTTACTCCTTTGTCCTACCTTAATCCTCATTCCTCAATCCTGCTGTGGATCCTGCTTTATTAGCAACTCACTCCAAAATCGGAATACAATCGCAGGCGTAGAAGCTAGGATTTAAACACAGAATGGAGGAATGTGGCTAGCAGGGCCATACTAAGTAATCAACTGTGCTGCAGTTGTGGTCCAAGTGTCTCCTCATAAGTAGAGGGACCAATATTCACATATGTATTACACTCAGATCCAATTTAGAAATTATAATATAAAGGCAAGATTTCAAGTTTTACTGTGGAAATAACTGAAGTTTGTATTTCTTACGTATTGATATTAGCTGCAAATGGAAGTTGTTAGCTTTCAACACAGACTTTGGATAATATAACACTAGTAAACATTTAAAGTCTTTCAATTTATCAAATACCATAAGATATACATATAAAGATCTTCAGCTGGGGTAAGGTTAGAAGAAAGATCATATCTAGCTATCTATTCCAAACAAGTAAAACAAATTATCAGCCCTTCAGCCAGTTTCTTCTACTTTTCTGTGCCTTGGTTTCTTCATAAATGTGGCCACATGGACTGCCAGATTTACAAACAAATCTGTGTTGGAAGAAGTACAGCCAGAATGCTCTTTAAAAGTTAGGATGCTGAGACTTCATTTCACATACTTTGGACATATTATCAGGATGGACTGGTCATCGGAGAAGGACATTATGCTTGGTAATGTAGAGGGTGAGTGAAAAAGAGGAAGACCCTCAGACAGATGGATTAATACAGTGGCTGCAACAATGGGCTCAAACATGGCAGGATTGAGCAGTGTTTCATTCTGTTATACAATACACTATAAAATGGAATTATATTGGTCCCTCATAAGTAGAGGGACCAATATTCACATATGTATTACACTCAGATCCAATTTAGAAATTGTAATATAAAGGCAAGATTTCAAGTTTTACTTCACCTAACGTGGTGAAGATTAGATAATATATGCAATGTGCTTAAAACAGTTGTAGATATGGTGGTAATTCCATAAGCATTAGCTATTCCCAGAGGGCTTCAAAACATTTGTAGAAAGACAGAATAAAAATACAACAAAAATTTCCCAAACCTTTTTGAAGTTCCCTTGTATTATTTCTAGTGTGGCACTTTAGGGTTGGTTCGAGCCACAAGGTCAGTGGTTTGAATCACAAGATCGGTATGAACAACAAACAGTTCAGTGGTTCAAACTCACCAGCTGCTCCTTGGAAACCCTATACAGGGTTGCTCTGATTCAGAACCAACTTGACGGCGTTTAACAAAAACAGTAAAAGAGGAACATTAAATCAAATGAGGGTCTTGGTATGAGTCTATAAACTCAAGAATGAATGAGACAGCATTGGGCAGTAAAAAGAACACACATTTTAGAACCAGTAATATGGGTTTGATTCCCAGTTCTTCTGTGTAACATGTGCCCAACATGTGCTGGACTCTTTTCTAGAAATTAGGGCTATAGATAGGTGAGAAATTAGGGCTATGGCAAACTGACAAAAGATCTTGCCTTCCTGGAGATTTTATGGAAAAAACAACAGTGACAGCAATCCTGATCCTATTTAATTAGTTAAAAATTATATTTGGGTGCCTCTTACATTCATTGTCAGTTGTAATTTAGTTGGCAGTGCTTTATCTTCCCTAGTCTCTTTGGGCCCGGAATCTGAGAGCAGATTAGATGTGTTTTCACTCAGGGTTTCTTATGAGCTTGTAGTCAAGACATCATCTAGGACTACAGTCATCTGAAATATTGAGTAGAATTTGAGATCCACTTCTAAGATGGAGCCATAGGATGGCTAATTGAAGCTGGCTATTGACAGGAGAATATCAGAAAGATGTTTACCTGTGCTTTACTGACTATGCAAAGGCTTTTGATTGTGTGGATCATGACAAGCTATGGACAACATTACAAAGGATGAGTATTCTGGAATACTTAATTATGCTCATGAGGAATCTGTATATGGACCAAGAGGCAGTTGTTCATACAGAACATGGGAACACTGAATGGTTCAAAATTAAGAAAGGTGTGTGACAGGGTTGTATTCTTTCACCATACTTATTCAA